TGTCAGCGATGGTTCAGCAAATTTCGTTCAAGTGAATTTAGTCTTAAAAACTGTGATGGCAGAGGCCGACATGTTGGAATTGATATTGATGAGTCTAACTCAAGGTAACACACTCGTAAAATGACCTGAAATTGCATGGCTCTCATGAAACAATGCGTAAACATCTAAGGAACATGGGAAAACTCCTTAAAGAAGGTGTTTGGGTGCTTCACTAACTCTCCGATGATCATCGTTGCCAACGTGTAAACGTTGCTTCATCTCTACTGGTGCGTAATGCGCATGAACCATTTTTGTACAGAATTGTCACCGGTGATGAAAAAATGGAATCTTTATGCGAATATTAAATGCCAAAAACAATGGCTCAGATCTAGACAAAAACCACTTCCGACCGCAAAACCTGGTCTCCATCCGCACAAGCCCCCCAGTGGCACAGTGGTATGTCTGCGGACTTACAACGCTAGAAACCGGTTTTCGATATTTATGGTGGGCAGAGTACAGATAGCCCTTTGTGTAGCTTTGTACATAACTACAAACAAACCATCCGCAGAAAGTGATGTTTTGCATTTGGTGGAACATCAAAGGAGTAGTTCATTTCGAACTCCTCAATCCACACCGAAATTAATTTGCAGAGATCTATAATCAGCAACTGGAACGTTTAAATCAAGCCCTTCATCATAAACGCCCTTCACTCGTCAATCGGAAAAGTATTCTTCTTCTCCACGACAATGCACACCCACATGTGGCACGTTTGACACAACACAAGATTATGGAGTTGGGTTGGGAATTTCTTCCCCACCCACCATATTCTCCAGATAAGGCACCATCAGATTACCATATTTTTCGTTCGCTGCAACACCCTCTTATTGAGACAACGTATGCAAATGTGAAAGGTGTTAAAGAGGACATCGACATGTTTTTGCTTCAAAGCCAAGTGATTTCTTTAATCACAACCTGATTATAAAATGAAAAAAGCATCATCGAAAGAAAGAAAACTATTTCCTTTAATAAATGTTTTGTTTTGATATATAAGTTGTTCGGTTTTTTAATCTAAAAAAAGCGACATTAATTTTTTGACGACCTAATATATACAGAGTGTCCGGAAACTATATTAATATTTATTTGTGAATGCGATTAAACTCCTTTTCCGCTGGTATCATGCTGCTACAGTGTATCCTAGTTTCTCAAGGTCTCTGTCTCTAACGCAGGAGTAAATAATTTTGTTAACATAATTTCCGGACACCCTTTACTTTGATTAATGAAATGTACTTTTTAAATATTCAGACACCTTGTAGATTTTGTTAGAAAATAAATTTAAAACTAATTTTCCAACGACTCTTAAGATTTTTTAAATGAAAATTTGAAGAAGGAAAATAGCGTTATTTTTAATAAAATTTCTCTTCGTCGTGTCACATTTTTATTTCCATATTACTGATTTTTTTCCAGACAAGTGGTATGGAGTAAAGATTCCAGATCCAAGGAAAACAGCGTTATTTTTAATAAAATTTCTCTTCGTCGTGTCACATTTTTATTTCCATATTACTGATTTTTTTCCAGACAAGTGGTATGGAGTAAAGATTCCAGATCCAAGGAAAACAGCGTTATTTTTAATAAAATTTATCTTCGTCATGTCACATTTTTATTTTCATATTACTGATTTTTTTGCAGACAAGTGGTATTGAGTAAAGATTCCAGATCACATATGTAAAGTACAGTCATGGATAATTTTTTAGGACTTATAACATTTCATTACAACCTCTAACACTTAAAACCAGAATGTTCGTCTTGGTCCACTTTCTTAGATAACTAGATGACCATAAAGCTTTATAAACTTATGTGAAGTTAGTAAAATATGATGGTCTTTGATACTTTTACATCTCTCTCTAATGGTATTAATAAAGCTTTATTCACTATTACCATCAGTTTTAAGGCAATTTTCGCCTCACGCTTTAACTAACTAACAGCTAGTTTTATGTTTTTTGATCGTGTAACTTGATTAAAATTATTTTCTTTCTTGTTTCACGGAATGTAACTTCTTGTCAGAAACTGTTTTCTTAGAATTGTTTACTAATATTATTATATTTATTTTTTTATCTAAACCATATGAAAATACTTAATGAGTATAATATATGTAGCAGGTTCACTCAATGTAACCAAAATTTTCCAGGTTGTAGGAAACTTGGGGCCCTTAGAGTATATTCTCAATACACCCAGCCATCATCGAGTGCACCATGGTAATGTCGATTATTTCCTTTTTATCTCTGTCTATATGGTGTTTACCTTCTTATCTTTATGTTCTCACAAGTAAAAATATTATTCCCATTGCATTTTTGGATTATGCGCCATCTTTTGGTTCAACACCAGTTTAAACTGTTATTTAATTGACAAGCAAGTACAATATCCATACAAATACTGAACATAAATTATAAATTACCTACCTAATACAGGTACCTTGTAACGAAGGTTGCTTTACTAAAATACACTGTTGTGATCGAATTCATATATTCAACATTGTTAAAATAATTAATTACTTCTACTACTTTTCCTTCCTGGGTATCTTAGGGAACCTGCTACAATTTACACTGGCCGACCCTAATGAAAAATACCCTTCGATTAATGATATTTATATTTATATTTTCAATCAATTATTGCACCAATCTGCTACCATACTGTGCAAGGTGAAGGTCATAAGAAACCACGTCTCTGATACGTTAGTTGATGTAGAGTGTGTCAACGCACTCAGCCAATTGTAGCTGAGCTTCCATTCAGGCAATGGCAAACATTTCATCATGGCGGCTAGAATACTGGCTCACATGTTTCCTTAAAAATGACAAGGTCACAGTTTACTTGAACAGTCAAAGACGTGTCCAAGTCATTCCATCCTAAACTACATTCGAATGATTATAAGCAGACATCAACATGTGTTTCAATGGATATTGGGATAGAGCAATTAGTAGACACGTTCGGTGTGAAATCAACGGAAATTCGTTGTAGGCCTAAACCAAAATGCCCAGCGGAAATTGAAAGTACCAGTAGAGCAAAGCATACAGCGACAAAATTCAATTAGCCCAATACTCCGCTTTCCTACCCAATTTTGAAAGACTTAAAATAAACTAAAAAAATAGAAGTGTCTACATACCTAACTACCCTATTTTTTCAGCATGTAATATGAAACTTTTTTTTTTGTAGGCCTAAATTGGAATTTCCTGTGAAGTTGAAATAAGCAGAGAAATTGCAATGCCAATAAACATTCAGACTATTTATTTTGCACTTGTTAGAAAAGCTATAACTATTCAGTGGTCATGAGATGTGGATGACGATTGATTATACTTGGATTTGAAGTAAAGTAACCAGACCTGCAGTATATTTATTTTTATAAGCTAACTTTAAGGGAAGAGAAATATTTTGAGATGTTTGTAATTGCTTAAAAACTTAAAATATCAGTCCTAACAAACGTTCTACACAAAATATTTCATAGTTTAAGTATCCTCGGTTAAATAGTATTAACGCTCGAGCAGTTAACTCGTTGACGTTATTAATGGAAAAAAGCAGATCAGATTTTACAACGTAAGAAATTTATGAAATGATAACGTTTTCATAGAGATAAATGAGCATATAATCATGTAAATTGTGTTATTTTGGTATTTTTCTACTTTATTATAACGCTAACACAGGTTGTAACAGATACTGCATTGACAAGAACTATGCTGGAGTTTTCATTATTTGACGTTTTCATAGAGATAAATGAGCATATAATCATGTAAATTGTGTTATTTTGGTATTTTTCTACTTTATTATAACACTAACACAGGTTGTAACAGATACTGCATTGACAAGAACTATGCTGGAGTTTTCATTATTTGGGACAGGATGTTCGGTACCTTTCAGGCTGAGGATGAAGAAATTGTGTTTGGCTTAACTCAGCCTATACAAACGTTTAACCCAGTGTATGTACAGGTGAGTTATGCTATCAGTCACATATCTATGTTAATTATTGAATACACATAGTATTGGTACTTGCTTGTCAGAGAAGTTATACGAAGTATATATTTGTATAAGGTTAATAATGTAAAATAAATCTCCATTATTACACCTATTTTTGATGTGCTTAAAAACTGTACTAAACGAAAAGTGATGACGATTATTCATTTAGCTTTACTGATAGATTTGTTTTGAGTGTCTAACCTAAGTTTTACCAGCTAAAACACAGCACTTTCAAAAACTTTATGTCCAAAATTGGCTCCATCGATTTGTTTGCGCAAAGCTTCAGACTGTCTTTACCCTCTGTCCAAAAAGTTAATAAAAAGTCGTTCCAGCAGAAAAACGAGCATAGGTCAGGATTTTATGCAAATATCTTACAACAATGGTGATTTTCCCCTTTTTTGTTGAGGGAAAACAGTTTTACACATACTACTGCTAAAAGTTACGAAGCTGAACACGTACTGAATTTTAATTTCATCTTAATTATTAGTATTGATTAATCGGTTTTATTTTAGGTTATGCGTTCAATCAGTTTTGATAACTATATACAAACAAAACTTGTCCAGAATATTTTACTGGCAGGATATACTTAACTTAAAGTTTACTGGCTTGAAACTCTTTATTTATTTTAGGTTTAATATCAAAGATAATTAATAAAAAAATTTCATATTTTTTATTTCTTATTACAACCGTTTAGACTTTTATATCGATATATTTACATTATGTCATTGTTCAATACTTTTAGTAAATTTTGTTAATTAAGTATATTAAATTGTATAAAAGATACTCATGAAGTTTGTATTTTATTCCAAGTTTTCTGCCTATGGGAAAATGTTAAAAACCTTCTGGAACATTAAAGGATTCAAAAACAAATTGTCGGTGCTCTTCAAAGGCCCTGGTTGGTCTCCAGGGAAACCTAGACTTGGACTGAAAGAAGACATCCCTGATGTGAGTTTTCTTGAATTTTTTCACCTTTAAACATATATATTAGAAAACCATAGATTGTATCCTCCCAAAATATCTCGTTAATAGCTAAAACTGTTTGGATTAAAGCTTTAGAGAAATTTTGTTGAATGTATTAATCTATAGACCCTATGCGCGTGACATCACGTGTTTACCTTGGTCACGCGACTGCACATGCTCTGTATTTACCCGGCTAACATTATTTAAAGAAAACTTAATAATATTTCAGGACACCAACAAGCGTTTTGGAGGAACATGAAAAGTAATTAGTCTCATATGCTTCGCATCTTAAGATCCGTATCATTATTTAATAATGCACATAATTAGTCTCATTAATTGGTGGCTAATTTGTCCTTACTTCTTAAGATCCATTTGATGGATACTTTGCTTTTACTTCTAAAGATTTATGTGGAAGTTACTTTACTTAAATTCTTACGATCCATATCGTGGCTAATTTGCCCTTATTTCTTAAGATCCATGCTCCACGGGAGAAGTACGATCCTCAGCTACCCATGTGGTGTATAGTGTATCTCCATTTCCACTCCTACGTTGTAGCTGCTTTCTACATTGACTTGGCTCTTCAGCATCAGGTATGTATATGATCAATATAGATTATGATTTAATAAATAATTTCGATTATAAGGTGTTTGTTGCTAGTTCCTTAATTTCCTTGAAAAATAAAACAGATTTTAGCGTTGAGAGTCAGTAAACTTATCGATGTCCCAATGAGTGAAACCAATAAATTGGAAATGTCTTTTAGCTTGGAACTGCATGTTATAAATCTATATTCACGATGAAATAAATACATTAGTGGAAGCATTGCGTGTGCGTGTGTGTGTGAAATCTTGCTGAGTTCATACAATTGGCAGGTTTTCAAAGTACTTTTCTTGAAACATTTGAAACCAATGTGCATACAGTTAAGAACAGTTTTGAGTTCTCTAAACAACTGGCAGATATAAGATTTGATGAACAAGTTTATTGTGCAAGTTTAGACACTGAATCCTTGTACCCTAATATTCCGTTACAAGAAACAGTTATCTTTAAGGAAAGAAAACAAGCGAATTCATTCTTAGAATATCTAAATTAAAGCATTCTTGTATGAAGTTTACAGTTGAAGAAGAACATAAATCAAATTTATCTGTTTTATATATATATTGATATTAATAACTCTGGAGAGTATTTAGAAATAGGATCGTGTCATAAACCAACGTATAAGGGATTGTGTAGTCATGTTGAAAGTCTTATATCTCTTGAATATAATTATCATAAAACTTATTAAACTAATTAAAAATTACTATTAAACTTATCATAGCGCCAGTAACTATAATTATTTTGATAAAGTAAAAAAAATTCTGTTAAAATATGGTTTTCATCTCTCGTTATTTGTCAATATTCAAAACATTTTTAAATGGGGAGCACACCCCCTTGTGAAGTGATTTTGATGTGCTCAACTGTTATTTATGTGCTTAGTAATAAAGTCAAAAATCTCTTGAAATCAAACCATCCATAAATTTTAGTGTGTACAGGCTTAGAAATCGGTTTTAAAAATTTAGAAAGTTTCAATATAAAGGACAATATTAATAAGCCACCCAATGGCACAGCGGTATGTCTGCGGACTTATAACGCTAAAAACCGGGTTTCGACACCCATAAAGGTTCTCCCATAATAGTTTATATTTCAAGTAAGATTACTGAATACAGAATGCGTTGAACAAATCAGTTTCTTAAAATACTTTCTGTATTCAAATTTAAGTATTCAAATAGTAAATATTTAAATATATTATAACCTTAACGCTTTACAATTCAGAATTAAGGTTATTTTATATGCACTACTTCCTATTTTATGGGTGCATAAGTTTACATCTCTTGGATTAGTATTTAAAAGTTTGGTATTTAAATGTATTTTTCATTATTAGGCGTTACATGTTTTTATTGCATCATAAAAAATTCAATAACATGACTTCTAATGACTAGTTTAAAAAATGCAACATTACGAAGTATGTTTTCAACAAATCCATATTTTGTCTTCTCTGTTGAACTCACTTGTCTAGATATTTTATTGTCCCTGCCGTGAAGTCTCTTTTTTTTACTTTCGAACAATTTCATTGTATAACACATTTACGTAACTATTTTCAATAATGATAGATTTTATTCATATATATATAATGAAGACGTAAAATTAAAAGATATATAGAAATGGCTCATAAATAAAATAATATTTACAGTTTAATTTTTTGTTATTTTATTTATTTATTTATTTATTAGCCCTTAGATACAACATATTTGTCTTAAATGAATATTATAGGTAAATGGAAAAATTATTATGTTCATATACAGAGGGTTGAGTACATTAAGTCAAAACTATTTTGGAGCTCACCATGTCGTTGCAGTCTATGTCTCCACGTCTGTCTTTGTCTATCTGATGTACGTTGATGTATGTTGGCAATGTTCCCTGCAGTATAGTATCCATTACAAAAGGCTCCATTATAAGGCTGTCATTTTATAGCACATCGGTCCTCCCTGTTGCTTTCCATGATGCATCTAGTGTAGGGAACGACGATTTTCGGGCACCCTCTTAAATGTCCGAGCACACAGAAATCCATACGTTAATCGAACGGAATGTTTTCGTATGGAATAGTATGAATACCCATTTCATTGTCCAACTACTTAAAGTATGCAACGGTTGAACTGATATGTCGTGCAAGCAGCTTGTGTACATATGACTTACATGGTTTTTCCAGGTGAAAATCATTTTCAATTATGTTACGTACTGATGTCTGGAGCACATGGACGACATTTTCCACTAACGTTTGTGTTCGTGGATTATTACTTGTTACAAGATGATAGACTTTTCTTACCACGGCGGGATACAGGTTGTTGCAGGTGTCTTTCTGAATGGTCCTGCTGCCCCAAGTTGATCCATATTTCTTTGATTTCCAATGCTATTAAATCCTAAGGATGTCCCCATCTTGGGAATTCCATATCTCCGATTTGAACCCATTTTAGGGTTTGATTTGTTTGTTTGTTGGTTGGTTTGTAATTAAGCACAAAGCTACAAAATGGGCTATCTGTGCTCTGCCCACCACACGTATCGAACCCCGGAGTCTAGCGTTGTAATTCCTCAGACATACCGCTGTGGCACTGAGGGGCTTAGGGTTTGAGAGTATGAACATTTGGCGTTGGAAAGCGCTGTTGCATAACTCTTCCCAAAGGCTATCAATTTTCGATGGCGTAACTCTACGTATAAACTACCAAACAATATCAAAATGTTGTTTTGATACATTCGGTTCTACCTCGATAGGCCGTGATTGTCATGTAATTTTCTGATTTTCATATTCAAATCGTTTTTGTTCGTATTCGTTTGTAATTAAGCATAAAGCTACACAATGTGCTATTTGTAGCTCTAGCGTTGTAAGTCTACAGACATGCCGCTGTTCCACTACCGCTGAATATTCAAACTCGTTTTAATAATACGTACACAATCCTGTAATATGCAAGGACGTTGTTAATTTCGCTCTGATTATTTATATATATATTAAGCAGATAAAATATTTTATTAAATAATATATTTTAATTGGGTGATTTGTAAATGGCGTGTTAGTATCCTTGTATTTACGTTTTATGTCTTTTATACAGGTAATACCTCAAGTGGTATTAGTTAGTGGAGTGGTGTTCTGTTTCATTTCAATCGTGTCGTTTTCTGCTGTCATGGACAAAAGGTGAGTCTATCTAAGGGTTATGAACCTGTAACCCAATATTTCAATCAAAGTATACCTACCAAACACCTACTACTATACTAAGTAGTTTTAACGGAGATTTTGCCGAGATAGGATTGGCTCAAGATTAACATTTTGGAAACATTGTGCTTTGCAAGGTACTGCCATGTTATCGCTATTATGGTAACGAATATGCCTTTAGTCTTATAGTAACAGCCATGTCTTTAATATTATAGTAACGGCTATGTCATTAATACTATGCATTTTCATTTGTTTGTGAGATTACCAGCAAAGTAGAAGATGGCCTTTTTAAGTAATTTTAAAAAGCATAATGTTTAGTATCATATATATATATATATATATATCATTTAAAGTTCCTTTTTAGGAATTAGCGCCAGGAGGTAAAATATAACAATATGCATGCACACATCTCACAGTAAATAAGACATGATAATCTATGGTGATGTCTGATAGTAAAATGTGTGTTCTAATTATGGTGATATGTTATAGTAAAATGTGTGTACTAATTATAGTGATGTGTGATAGTACAATGTGTGTTCTAATTATGGTGATATGTTATAGTAAAATGTGTGTACTAATTATAGTGATGTGTGATAGTAAAATGTGTATTCTAATTATGGTGATATGTGACAGTAAAATGTGTGCGCTAATTCTGGTGATGTGTGATAGTAAAATGTGTGTTCTAATTATGGTGATGTGTGATAGTAAAATGTATGTACTAATTATGGTGATATGTGATAGTAAAATGTGTGTTCTAATTATGGTGATGTGTGATAGTTAAATGTGTGCGCTAATTATAGTGATATGTTATAGTAAAATGCGTGTACTAATTATGGTGATGTGTGATAGTACAATGTGTGTTCTAATTATGGTGATATGTGACAGTACAAATCACCATAATTAGTACACACAGTGTGATAGTAAAATGTGTGTTCTAATTATGGTGATGTGTGACAGTAAAATGGGTGCGCTAATTATGGTAATATGTGATAGTAAAATGCGTGTACTAATTATGGTGATGTGTGATAGTACAATGTGTGTTCTAATTATGGTGATATGTGACAGTACAATGTGTGTTCTAATTATGGTGATATGTGACAGTAAAATGTGTACTAATTATGGTGATGTGTGATAGTACAATGTGTGTTCTAATTATGGTGATATGTGACAGTAAAATGTGTACTAATTATCACACCACTTGGAGATTTTATAAACGAGACAACAACTATTTTACATGTTTGTATAACCATTGAAAGATGTATATTTGACCATGTTTGGACATGATTGCACTTAGCAGTATCTGGGTTCATTTACCTCTTCGTCTTAGAATAGTATCATCTAGGATGAAAAGTTGGCTCTTCTAGTGAGCAAATCCTAAGTCCAGGAAGAAGTGAAATCATTCCGAGCATCTCACTTGACTAAAAATAATAATTGATACAATATCTCTTTCTATTTCCATAATAGGACGTGTTAATAGTAGCCTTTTATACACAAACACATGTATGTATTGCATCATTGAAAAATCGCGGATATTAAATCATGAAATCAATGTGTAATTAATTCATGAGAGAATATGAAGGAATGGTGTAATAAAACAGGATAGTAGTAACTAAATAAGAACGTGCTTTGTAAGGCAAATTCAGATATACTGCAGAAATAGATAATTAACACAAACATAAATAAATAAACGTACGAGGACAAAATTAAATAAATACAGAGGAAGAAGAAATGTACTAAAATGTTAAAATTGATTACGCATCTTTAACTCAATATAGATCTTTATTATTATTATCGATCCAACTGGTTTTTCTTGGGCAGCGTCCAATAAAATGCAAATAGCAACTTAACCCATTACGTATACATATGTGTACTCCACTTGCACAAACATATATATATATAT